CGCGAGCTTGTCACACTGCTTGCAAGTGATTTATGGTGATTGTCTTAGCTAAGTGCAAGTGTGTGCGCCCTCAATGCAGCTAGAAAGTGCAAGTGGAATTCTTAGTCATTTRGCAGTTGTAATTGAAGCAAGCTTTCAATGCCTGAAGTTTGAATTGAATTTTTTAAATATTCGTGTTTCGAATTTACGGATTTTAAAAASTACATATTTCCTGTATATATTGATTCGTACTAAATAAATAAAAAATGTGCCTGTAATTTGTGGAGACAGCTGTGTCATTGTCTTTTAGTCGATTTCGAATAACTAAACAAGCAAGAAACAAATGTTTGACTTAAAATTAATTATTATTCCATTTACTGTTGCGTACTGAGGAAAATTCGAATAATTTCAATTGGTGTCTATCGGATTTTGAGAAAATACAGTTGCGTTAATGGTTAAAGCTTACTTAAAAACTAGTAACATACGGAGTTATAAAAATTAATTGAAAATAGTCAATGTCTTTTTTTTTATAATCTGAAGTACAATCGTTAAAATTAAGTTCTTAAAATTAGAGCATTAAAATGGCTTTCATAAATTTCTTTGCAGGAATGAATTCGACGAATCCATTTTTCGACTACTTTTCTAGCAAATCAAGCCACATGGCTTAAATAGCACGTTCAATATTCACTTCTAATGCTCAAAGAGCATSTGGTTTATTGCTAAAGACCAGTGACTTCAAATAATTYTATATATCTATATCGCTTTTCCATYGACAGTAGYGGTCTCACCAGCTTCATTTCGAAAGCGGTACGGACCGATGATTCCATCAGACACAACACTAAACCAAACGGTCACTTTAGGTCAATATTGTGATTGTTCATGAATAATTTGTGGGTTTTCTTCGCACCACCATCGACAGTTTGGTTTATTTACCGCACCACTCTGTTGAAAGTGAGCCTCGTCGAAGAAAATGATTTTCTTAGAGAAATCTTTATCATATTCAAGTGGTTCCAAGGCAAAATCAGCAAATTCAGAACACTTATGGTGGTCCAGTGACTTCAGTTCTTATGAGAACAATTTTGTACGAATGCAAACTCAAATCCTTGCTTAAAATACGCGAGATTGTGGTTGAGATTGTGCCAATACTTGAGAACGGCTTGGAATCGACATGTTACGGTCTTCAACAACATTCAACTGAACGGCAGCAATATTTTCGTTAGTTAAAGTGCGTTTTTGTATTATTGGCACTTGAGCATTATGTAAAGAAAACAAATTCTCGAAACTTCCAACTGTTCGATGAAGATGAATTGCGAGCACGTTTAAATGATTACTACGTCCATAAAAAATGCAAAAGCACACTAGAAGTGGCAATTGGAGAACGTTTGTTATGATAATAAATTGAATTAATTGTAAACGTTGTGCCTACGTATATMTTTCCTTGAAGAAATTGTAAACATAACTGAATACGATTAAAAAATGAGAGATCGTGACATATTAAAAATGGCCGAAATGTCAGTTAGAAATCAAATCAACCATTGGAAAACACGGCACTAACCTCGTTTGAACGTTCATTGTGCTTATCGTTTTATAATACACATGACTGGCGCGCTGTTTTAAACTCGGCTAAAACCGCGTAAGCCATGTCTACAACCATTAAGAAGAAAAGTTGCTTCGCCAATCACAGAGCCCGTATAGTGGCTCTTTTCGGAGTGAGTGACCTTTTTTTTATCAAAAACGATTCTTTCTTTAATACATTGTGACAAGAGAAAAGAAAATTGTAAATAGAACGCAAAATATTTGATTATTCATCGACATTATTTTGTCGGATGGCCGTCAGCTCCTTTAGTAAATTTCGTTTTAACGATCGACTGAAAACGAGTTCGATGGAGCCGCAATTTCAGTTTGCATAACAAGAAAAAATCACTCGAAGTTGAAATAAACATTTACTTGGAACGTGAAAAGCATTATATTAAATATAGTCGTCTACATACAGTTTAATATTATGGTAGAAAAATTTCATATCGATCTTCTAATTCCTACCAAATTGAAAAAA